TCTTTACTGCCGGAGCTCCGCTCCTGTGTGCTCCTGCAGGAAATGACCCCTGCTGGTTACCAACCTCCAGGTGAGGCCTAGATCTCTCTGGGAAATCATAACTGGTCACTAGAATACAGAGATTGGAGCAGACGTTTTGGCATCAGAACTCTGATGACCTCCTCACCCCCAAATTCTGCCCTCTACCAGCAACACCCCAAATCTTGAGGAATTTCCAAAACTGGAATTAGCAGCCCTAGTGGAAGGCTAGATGCGGAGCTTTGCTGGAAGTCCCTCAGCCAAGCCAAAAAGAGGGGGTGTGTGTGTGAGTGGGAGGGGTTATTTTCTGTGGAGGGCCTGGCAGAAGCCCAGTTTGCAATTCTTGACAGTTGGAAGGTGGCTGTTGAGAAAGCCCTTTTAAAAAGTCTTGTCAGGTTCGCTTGTGCCGTAGGGAGAACGATCCATGTTTCTACCAGTATCTGTTGGGAGAAAGAAGCAACTTTGCTCTCTCCCTAGAAACAGAAAGGCCAGAAGATTTGGAACTCACTGTGGGACGAAATTTTTATTATTTATTTGATTCAGTTATACCCCGCCTTTCTCTCCAACGGGGACCCAACATGAATTACACATAATCCCCTTGTGGCTGCTGCTGCTCAGGAATCGTTTTAATACCCATGTTTGGATTTATTGCTCATGAACCAATTTCCCAGGGATGGGAAGGATTACTTTCTTCTTCCTCTTCCTCCTCCAGGGCCCGGTGTCCTTCGAGGAGGTGGCCGTGTATTTCACCCGGGGGGAGTGGGCCCTGCTGAGCCCGGCCCAGAGAGCTCTCTACAAGGAAGTCATGCTGGAGAATTTTGGGAACGTGGCCGCTCTGGGTAAGGAGGATCCTTTTCTCCTCAGCGCTGTGGAGTGTGGCGATGATGAGTCTTCTCTGTTCCTCGTTAGAAGGTCGCTGTTCACCAAAGGGATGTGTTCAGGCCCTTTGGTGAATGAATGCCTGTCCAAAGTCCCCAGCCTAGAGATGTGAAGGCCCAGAAAAAAACTGGAAAAATTTGGGGGGGAAACGGTTTAGACAAGGTGTTCAAATATTTTCCAAATAATTTCAGATTGATCTAATTTCTGTGCACTGAGGACAAGCAAGTCCTAGGTTACAAACTGAACTCTCCAATGCAAGAACAAGATGCATTTCTTCCTTTAGGAGGTGCTATTGTCAGAAGAAAATTAAAAGGTTTCAGTTTTGTTTTTGCATGTGGGTGGGTATTCTGTTTGTAATCATTGTTTGGGTACGCTATATTTTTAATATGCCAGTTGTGATAATTTCATGGCAAGTAAAAATGTCCAGTCATATTTTATGTTCCTAAAGTAACAGAATGACTTTCAATTTAGAAAAGACAAAAGAAATGCTAATGTAGCATTTTTTCAATGTTTCCAAAAATTTCCGGTTTTTTTTAAAAAAAAATAATGGTTTTTTTCCCGAGCTTCAAAATTTCTGGAAGTGTTACATCTCTACACCAGCCCTTTTTATCTATCCCAACAGCTTAGGATCAAAAGGGCCAAGTCTCCCAACATTTCAGGGAAATCAACAAGAAAGTCAGCCCCTATCTGTTGTTGGAGGGCCAGTCAGACTCTAGTCCGGGAGATCTGGAACTGGCACTGAAAGCCATGGCTGGTTGGCTTAGACAGAGCCGATTGAAATTGAATCCGACAAAGACGGAGGTCCTGTGCCTGAGTCGGAGCGGTCCAAGGTTCAGGATCCCACTCCTGACCTTCGATGGGGCGCCGTTGATGCCAGCGCCAGAGTTTGGGAGTGCTCCTGGATACCTCCCTAACGATGGAGGCCCAGGTAGCAGCCACTGCAAAGTCGGCCTTTTGCCGCCTACGGCTGATTAAGCAGTTGGTTCCCTTCCTTGAACGCAATGACCTGGCGTCAGTGATCGACGCACTGGTCACCTCGGGATTGGATTACTGTAGTGCTCTCTACATGGGGCTGCGCTTGGCCCAAATCCAGAAGCTGCAGCTGGTGCAAAACGCAGCGGCGAGGCTGTTGTGTCTTCCTATGCGGGAACACATCCAGCCCCCCCCTAAAAACCTTGCACTGGCTGCCTATAGCAGACCAGATAGGGTTCAAGGTGCTGGTTCTTACCTTTAAAGCCCTATATGGCCAGGGACCTGCTTACCTAAGGGACTGCCTTTCCCTGCATGTACCCCAGCGAGCACTAAGATCGGGCTCCCAAAATCGTTCGGTTCTTCTGGGGCCTAAAGAGGCCAGGTTGGTGACAACGAGGGCCAGGGCCTTCTCTGTGGCAGCCCCTCACGGGTGGAACGAGCTCCCCGAAGACATCAGGGCCCTGCGGGACCTCTTACAGTTCTGCAGGGCCTGGAAAACGGAGCTTTTAAGTAGGGTGCCGCCTCGATAGCATGGCCCTGGCCCCGGCCCTGGCCTGATTACCAAGCTGTGCCAACAACTGTACCACTATTGGCACCGACAGTACCAACGGTGCCGCCAACCAAGGCTTTATAGCTGGGCGTGAGGTGGTGGACCGTGCTCAGTAGACAGCTGATACCAGAAGACTCGCCATCTTTTAATATAAGTTGTATGATTTTACATTGACTGATAGTTTTAACGGCATTTTAACGTATATTTGTATATGCTGTTAACCGCCCTGAGCCTGCCGAATTGCGGGGAGGGCGGGATGCAAATGCAAATATAAATAAATAGACAGATACCTGGGTTTTGGCCTGTGTGTGACACAGAGTGTTGGGCTGGATGGGCCATTGGCCTGATCCATCATGGCTTCTCTTATGTTCTCAGCAGCTGGGTGACTTGGGAGGGGCCGGCAGACAACCATCCTAACGGTTTAAGTTCTCTCTCTGTCCGCTGTCTCCAAAATCTGACCCTCTCTTATTCTCCGGAAAAAGAAATCAGTTGTAATGATTTTGTGTTATATATATATATATATA